AAAAAAAAAAAAAAAAAAAAAAGTACACAACTAGAGTGAATCTTCCACCAGCTTATGGAAAGATACACCCCCATGATTTTTTTTATTTATTTTTTGTATTTTGTGCATGTCGAGAGTAGTGCAGCGAGGCCCTTTCTGCGTGTCATCCTTGCACAGGGGGCCATGCTAATCTTCTCTGTATCGTTCCAATTTTAACGGATGTCCCGAAGAGGACAAGCGGGACCGCTTTCGTGTGCGTGGTGCTGTGTACGTGGTATTGGGCGTACATAGTAGCTCCACTACACAACACTTTACATGCATTTGGACTACCTTCTAGACCGTATACATTCTGACTGTGAGCTCGTACGAACGCACCTGGTCCAGAAGGAGTCCACATGCGTGTAGAGTGTTGTATAGTGGAGCGAGGGCGGTGTACCTTTCCATGTTCTAACGGCAGATGCACTCTCGTGTTGCACTTTTCGAGAATACCGGACGGGGTGAGGTCCCACTAGGTAGCTAGCTAAGAGGGTTGGATAAATATCCTGAATCTGGACGTCGTTTACGCAGAGATCCGGAAAAGCAGTTCAATCTCGACATTTTGCACTTTTGCACAAACTAGTCCAGATTCAGGTGTTCAATCCAGTCCTCTTTGCTTAGTGGGACCTCGCCCCAGAGGCCTTCTTTCTTTCCTTTTTTTTTTTTTTTTTTTGTCGATTGTTGTGTTGTATGTTGCGTCTTCTTCGATTGTTGTGTTATGTTGCGGTTGTCTCGACAGTGATGAACTGCGCGGGGGCTAGCTCCCACCTACGCGAATTAATTATTAAGCGATATTGACCGTAGATATAGCAAAAAAATATAGCGAAGATCAACGGCCAGACTCTCTTAATCACCGTGCAAGTGGGACCTTGCCCCCCCGCCGGAGTGTAGTCGCGCAGCATTTTGCAGTCTTTCTGGAACCTGGCACGGGGGAGGGCGAGGGCAAGGACGAGGACGAGGGAGCGGGCGAGGGGATGTGTGGGCGGGAGAGTTGGTATCGGTATCAGTTTTCTGAGGTATTGCCGGACTCGGTGAGGAGGAATAAACGTGCAGACGAAGAGTCCATTGGTAGTGTGGGTAGAGGATTTGGTATTGGTATTGGTAATAGGCAAAGTGCCGTCGGCTCGCGTGAATACAGGGCATGCAGTTGGAGTTGGACATGGAGTGTGTGTGGTCGGATCTTCAAAGCTTCCAGGAGGGAGATGAGCAGGAAGAGTGAACGGGCAAGAGAGAGGTAGGTAGGTAGGTAGGTAATCGAGCGCGAGAAGCCCAGCGGACTCGCGCAAGCAACAAGAAAAAAGAAGGCACACACAGACATCGAGAGAGAGAGAGAGAGAGAGAGAGAGAGAGAGAGAGAGACGTTTCTCCTTTCAATCGCCAGCGAATCTGTTCGACACACGGAGCAGGCATCGAGAGAGAGAGAGAGAGAGAGAGAGAGGAAGGGCGATCAGCGCAACTGTCTATGAAGTTGATTACTTTCATCTAGGAGCTCTGAGCGCAACCGTGCGCAAGAGTAGCGGATCGGGAGAGTCGGAACGCTGCGCATTGGCTTTCACCTCCGCCTCCGCCTCCATCTCCGCCCACTCCTCATCTCCTATTGTTCTCCTTTTCTTATGTCTCCCCGTCTTCGTCGTCCTCCTGTTGAAGGGTACTCTTGAGAGGTAATTTAGCTTGGGAGGGCGATAGCGATAGAAAGGGAAGAGACCAGAACAACAACCAACCCAGTCGGCTACCGAGTTACTTGAAACATCGGTTGCTGACTCTGGGCGAGTTCATAGAAAATTTGGCTCGTCGTCCTTTCAGCCATAGCAAACGAGAAAGGAAGAGTATCGCGCACGCGCGCGCGCGAGCGGAATTGCCAGGCGGACAGGACACAGTTTGTCGACTCTTGAGGATCGCTCTGACAGCGAGGACTCCTGCTCTCTGTCAATCACCGCCTACCACCATCTCCTTTTCCCTCTCTGTTCTCTCTCTCTCACAC